TGAATGTAAAATGAATGCTGTCCAGGAGGTGGGAGGGTCTGGGAGGGAGGGTCTTCTGCTGATTGGCTGGAATGTGCCTGCTGACTGTGAGGTACAGGGTCAAAGTTTACTCAATGATGACATAGGGGGCGGACCGAACAGCGCATATGTTCGCCATCCGTGGTGAACTGTTCGGGACATCACTAAACGTAGATTTAAAATCACAATATGTCCGCTCATTTTGGCAAAAAAGAATAATATAGATGAAAATCTGATGATTTGGCAATTCGTCTACATTCTGAATGGCAAAATGGAAGAATGGAGCAAATAATCTAGTGGTGTAACGAACAATATTCTTCCATGAGCCATTTGTTCATTCAGTTTGTGCGATCTGTGCTTGCATCACACAAAGGGGAGGGAAAGACAGCGTTTCGTCACAGTAGGTTAGGCTAGGAGAAAATGACAGTTTTAGCAATTCTGAAATTATTTATTTAAACTCTTGTTATTTCTGTCTCTCTACTAGTGCAGTTTAACTGCATTCTAAGATGTTCTCACACATAGTGTTTGTGTTACTGTGGATTGCGGGAAAAAGAGTTGATTTAAAAGACAACTGTCTCCACAAAACTATTTTCAAAGGGACATTATAGTCACCAAAACAACTTTAGCTTAATGAAGCAGTTTTGGTGTATAGATCTTGCAGTTTCACTGTTCAATTCTCTGCCATTTAGGAGTTAAATCACTTTGTTTATGCAACCCTGGACATAACTCCCTGTATGTGACTTACACAGCCTTCCTAAACACTTCCTATGAAGAGTCATCTAATGTTTACACTTCCTTTATTGCAAATTCTGTCTAATTTAGAATGTCTTATCTCCTGCTCTGTGAATAGCTTGCATAACCCTGCAGGAGTTTACTGTATGTAATTAAAGTTCAATTTACAGAGCAGGAGATAAAATGTATAAAGTAAGCTACATCTGATTGAAAATTAAACCATTTTGTTATCATGCAGGCTGTGTCAGTCCCAGCCAGGGGAGGTGCGGCTAGGGCTGCACAAACAGAAACAAAAGTGATTTAACTCCAAAATGTATATAAAGGGTTGTTCAGAGTAGGGAGGTCTGCACTTGGAGAATCTCCCACTCTGAAAGTAGAGCACCAAAAAGACTCTCCAGTAGTGTCTCGGGGCTTAACCCCTATTCATCAATGAAATAAAATTATAACTCCCACCAGAGAGGACACTCTGTATGTAGGTGCTATCTGGAAATAGAGTGTATATACTGAATGTGAAACACTTCACCACAAAGTGGTTGTGGTCAGATTTGTAATCCAAAGCCCTTTCGGCTAAGTCTCTGACTATAAAAATTAGCTCCATTAGATCCAATTCTCCTATCTTATCAAGCTTTATTCAGGTATGCCTCTGTAGGGGAATCCGATACAAGTTAAATGTAATTAAATTAGATCAAAGATAAAGGGAGAGGGCGTAATTAAAGTTGCTGAATGTAAGTAATGTTGCCAATCGGTATAGCTGATACAAAGTGATATATATATTGGCTCAAGAAGAGCACAAAATAATGCAGCTTGTAATAAGGATTATTGAAAAAAAAACAGACAGAATTAGATATAGATAAAGCCTCTCTACCTGTTAATCTAACTGAATAGTCAGAGGAAAAAGAAATAGAAAATAAAACTTTAAAAAGTGCTAATATATCAAAACCATGCTGCTTAAGCTGCACCATTGTGTTCCAAGTGCTTAAGTGCCCTGTGAGAAAAGAAAGAATGCCTGACGCACGTTTCGGTGCACGGACATGTGCACCTTCGTCAGGGGTCAAGAGTGAACTGACCATATCATCCTACGTGGAAACCGGATGGTAAGACAATCTGGTAGTGCCACATCATTAAAGGGTGTGTCCTGAATAGTAGAGCAATTGATTATGCAAAGTACCTCTTTTGTAAGCTCCAATCTGAGGACAGATCGTCATATGTGACTCACTTGAGAGGATTAACCCTTTCAATGCAATGTCCAATGTGCATTTGAAACTATGTCTTGTTTGCACCTATATCTAGGATGCCAAACTAAAAGTATAACAACCCATCGTATAAGGTTTGGTATGTCTAGTGTACTATTAGGTCGTCATCTCATTAGAATCTTCTCTAGGGTGTCTATCTATTTGCTGAAGAAAGTAACCCCCTCTGTCTTATATCTAATAAGTGGTTAAAACAGCCTATCTTTACAGTCTTATCTATAATACAGGTCTATTTATTTGATGGAATTAACCCCATTTAGGGATATACTGTGTGAACGTCTATTAACTATACCTTAATCTATATGTTTAAAGGACCACTCTAGGCACCCAGATCACTTCAGCTTAATGAAGTGGTCTGGGTGCCAGGTCCCTCTAGGATTAACCCTTTTTTTATAAACATAGCAGTTTCAGAGAAACTGCTATGTTTATAATAGGGTTAATTCAGCCTCCAAATCCTCTAGTGGTTGTCTCATTGACAGCCACTAGAGGCGCTTGCGTGCTTCTCACTGTGAAAATCACAGTGAGAAGACGCAAGCGTCCATAGGAAAGCATTGTAAATGCTTTCCTATGAGACCAGCTGAATTCGTGCGCAGCTCCTGCCGCACATGCGCATTCAGCCGAAGAGGAGGATCAGAGGCGGAGAGAAGGAGGAGAGCTCACCGCCCGGCGCTGGAATAAAGGTAAGTATAACCCCTTTCCTCTCCCCAGAGCCCTATAGTGGCACTATAGTGGTCATTTAATGTTTAGATAGATGTTTTTTTCAAACTATGGGGGCTACTAAGCCCTTCTGTATCAATTTTATTATTAAACCAATACAGCAAAAAGTTCAGCGATATACTGGGCTGAGTCTTGAGGTTGTCAAAATATAGGGGAGAAATGTGTCTAGATATATATTTTGATAGAGAGGGCTAATCTATGGGTGATGTCAGTCTTAGATGTAAGCCAACGTCTTAATGATCGTATATTTAGTAGATGTACAGTTATATGTCCAATGGAGATAAATAAATCAGGTCTAAAAGTGAAAAGGGGTGGATTTACAGAGGGAAAATTATAAAGTTGTTTTGATTATAAAGAAGTGCTGTACATTCATTTAATGGTGGTATATCCATATTTATATTAAAAAAAGTGCATTATAAGTTATAGGGCAAATGTTTAATCAGATATAAATGAAGTGTATGAAAATCCTTCATTTAATCCAGACGGAGATAATGTTTTTAATTTGTAAATCCAGAAACATTCTCTCTGGAGTAGTTTCTTATCCAGGTCGCCTTTCCTTGGGCCCAGGTTTAATTTTTCTATTCCACTGAAACGAAGCCCTTGGGAGGAGCCTCCATGTTGTAGCTTTAGATGTTTGGACATTGGGGTGTCAATAAGTCTGGAAGGGTTAATCAAATTAACATGTTCTAAAATTCGCTTTTTAAACGCTCTGCTTGTTTTTCCCACGTATTTTAAGTTACAACTACAGGTCAAAACGTAAACTATTCCTGAGGTTTGGCAGTTGAAGAAAGTTTGTTGTAACAGAACCCTGTATTGTTTTGCCTGAACTT